AATGCCCCAATCTATTCGTGGGGAGCAACACGTGCTGGGAACCGGGCCCAGCGTCCCATGTAGAATATGCAAATGATTTGAAATACCAGGGCCATTACCTGGCTTCGGCTAAGAACAATCTGAAGACGATGAAAAAAGTACAGGAAGATTTAGGAAAAACGTGGATAACTGTTGACCTATTACTAGGCTACTCAAACAGCAAACCACAAAAGTCCTTCGAATGCTCAGAACCCGACAAAACACTCTTAAATTCTCGAACACTGTCTAATTCCCTGTTGAGCTCTCCCAGGCCTTACGCCCCCACCCTGCTAGGTTACAGGGCAACACGACTCACTTCAGCTCCAGCCAGCGTCGTCCGACAGCAACCTTAGTTTTCCCTTGGAATGCCCGGCCCAAGGCATCCCCAGATCTCTCTACCAGGTCTCACGCTCCTGCTGTCAACACGTTACAGGGCAACCACCCCCCAGCACCGACCAGCGTCGTTCTGGTGCTATCAACACGTTACAGGGCAACCACCCCCCAGCACCGGCCAGCGTCGTTCTGGCATCGAAAAACCGCAGGTCCATGAATATAACAGCATCAAAGATGCCTAAAATAAGTTGCAATGAGTACCCAGAATCCTAAGGCATTCTCAAGGGACTGTTTTTGAGAAAAATCTAGAAAAAGTTTTAAGAAGACCTCCCCCTGCCAGCATCGATTGCCCCGGAACCAGGGGATTAATAGAGCAGGGACGCCCTTTGATGATAGGTCTTTTTTTAAGAAAAATCTGAGAACAACTTGCACCAAGTACTAATGAAAACAGCCTCGAAGGGGCTAATAGAAGAAAACAGACATCTCTACAGTACTAAATGCAAAAGGCCCTTTAGTTTTTTGGAAGAACATTCAGATCGAGAAATACCTGCCTTAGAGCCTTTCAGTAGTCCACCCCTACCTGCCTCATCCCTATATCTCGATACTTTGTCTCTACTAGGCGTCACGCCCCCAACTGCTAGGTTACAGAGTGGCATGACCCACCCCAGAAGACTGCCACCTGCTAGGCTACAGGGCAAAATGACCCGCCCCGGCTCCGACCAGCGTCGACTAAGTACCAGCTTACCAAAGGACACTAGAGTGCCTTCCACCCTCGACAACTCCCCAGATCTCTCTACAAGGTCTCTTGCCCTCGTACAGCTCGAGTTACAGGGCAGCGCGACCAAACCCCAGCACCGACCAGCGTTGTTCTGGCCTCGTCCATTCGCAAACCCACAGGGACCCAAGACTACAGCAAATACCAGACAAGCCACCAATCAGCACCATAACTGTAGTTCCGATCGTTCAGCTCCTTCAGGCACTGGTTGCAGATATCCCACATAAAATCCCTCACAACCCTACTCCGGCAAGTCTTACTGCGATGAAGCCACCATCTTCACCGCTGCTGTACCCTATTTCCACTCCCCAGGCTAGCCCCATGGCTGCAAAGCGCATTATCCCCCACCATCGCAACCACAGCCCCCTGCCACCAGCGCCGGCTTATAAATAATTTTTAAATCAGAAAATTCAATCCCATTCAAGAACATATTGAGAAATCAGGAAATTAGAAGATTGAGGAAACCACATACTCGTTTCAGCGCCTACTATTCCCACAGGAAGAGGAGAAGGGAGGGAAAAAAACACCCCCTCTCCCCATGGAAACTCCAGCGCCTATTCAAATCTCGATTGCATGTACAAGGCTCACAAGAACCAAACAGATTACTCCTCTCCCCCAAAAAAACGACCCCCTGTCTAATCACTGCCTCCGCGGGGAAGCGCCCCCTCACCTCCCAGGCCCAGTTCAGAACAGCCCCCTAAATACCACTCCTGCTCCCTCAGCTGCGTACAGTACCCTCTAAAGTATGCCCAGCAGAGCCGAAGATCCCCCTTCCCTCCTGCCCCACCCCTCCAAGTGAAACAGCCCTTCAATGTCTCATCGTGCTGGCATCAGCACCTCTTGTCCTCTCTCCCCAACCGCCATGGCTGATCCGACCCAAAAATCAGCGTGGCCCAGAAAACGACAAACCCTCAACACCGCCCCTCCCTCTCAAAGATCACACCACCCACCCTGTGTAACCCTCGCAGGGAGGAGCTCCAACCCTGAAGGAGATAATTCCATTCAGATTCAATAGCCAAAAAACAGATAGGAACCGAAAATTGGAACCATGCATAGGAATGACTATTGAGACATCAGAATGACTAGAATTTCGAAATCAAGATTACCTACCTTATGAATTTAAGCATCGACACAAATCAGAAGATCAAACGAGATTGAGTTACAATTTTGAAAATTACTTTTAAGAAATCAAAGGTGCCCAACCTTTGATTTACGAATCTCGGGCAACGAGTATTTGCCCAGGAAGTAATTCAGCAACAAAACATACGACAATCGACACGGCTAATGATGTGAAATTCAAAAGAAATAAAGAAACAAACTAGGTCAAACAAAATAGGTCAGAATTAATCTTGATTTAATCTTGTTTTTCAAACCTCAAAATCAGAATTATTAGTTATGTTTCGTTACATATCTAGAATTCAAGGTTAGAAAGACTAATAGGTATTGAACCAAACAAAACTATGTAGGAATCACATCGTTAAGAATCTCCAGGGTCC